TTAAACTTATTTGATAAGTTGTTCAATTTAGAATTCAAATTAATTTAAGTTTAACTTAAATTGGAATTTGAATTTGAGTCAAAATTAGACTACAGGATAAAGGATGATTTTCTCTTCCTTCCCTATCTGATATTGGCGCCACACAGGGATGAGAATCCCCATCTTGGCCGGCTACACTAAGGGATAAGGGAATAGGAGATTTTGTTTAAAATTCAAATAGGAGATAATTAACAAGCTTTATCTTAGAGATAGAGATTGGATTCCTTCTAGAAGTTTGACTTCTACTCTATAAATATTATTTTTGAGACAATTTTCAGAATGGTTTTTTACCCTAATTTTAGAGGTGGCCGAAATTTCTCTATAGAAAGAAGGAAACATTTTTTCTCCAAAAATTCCACATCGTGCATGCGTTGGTGTTTGTGGAAATTCAAGTGTTTATTGTAACCCGTTTTGTCTCATGTGTGCCCACACACACGTCTTCGTGGATTCTAGAAATTGACGTGGAAGACATTGGTTTTCTAAACACAAATATTGGAGCAAGGACTGTTCGTGGTCAAAGAACACAAGTTATCATCCGAGTCGGCTTCCAGGTATTTTTCCTGATTGAGTTCTTAATAAATGAATTAATGAGATTAATTTATTCGTGCATAAATTGATATAATCTATAGAGTATCTCAAAGGTTTTATGAAAATTTTTGTTATCACGATCCCCTCTCCCCCCGCTCACCACGCTTTCGCATCCGAATTCGATTCGGAGACCAGCAAAAAGATGATTTCGCCAAGACATAGAGTAACAAGATGAAATTTCTCAAGATAAAGTTATTAGTCATTCGCCCTAAGAGAGAAATGAGAAAAAGAGAAAAGGAGAAAGTGAGTTGGTCAGAATTCTGAGACCGCCTCCAGACGCATCGCTAGACCTCCAGACTTGAAATTTGGTTGCAGGGCTCTTATCGTTGTGCACTTTTTGATGGCGGTGACTATGTTTGGCTAGGTGGCTTCATTGTGGCGGATCTAATTTTGTTCAAAGGATGGAATCCATATGGCTTAGAGGCATTTTCCTATGCTTTTCTCTCCTAATGGTTGTTCTTTTTCGGGGTTTTGTTCTGAACGGTGGTGGGCTTCTTATGGAGGTGGTGTGTCGACTCCAGACGTTGATGGTGATGGCGCGTGTGTTTCACGATCTGCTAATTACAAGCATATTGTTTCACCACTTGGCCCTCGAAGTGTTCTTCCTACCCCGGTGGCTCTCTTGTCGACTGTACTTTCATTAAAGGCTTGTGGTGGTCGTGCTTTAGGTTTTGTTGTGTATGTTTTAGTCTAATAAAAGCATCGACATTACCGCCATATAGTTTTACCATTTTCTTTGTGATAATGGAGGTGATTCTCCCACCTTTTGA